CGAAAGAGCCCCCGCCACCCCGGGCTGTCCCCAGAACCGTCCGAATGCCTTCGGGCGGTTCCGTAGTTAGTCCGCGAAGGGACCGCTGTTCGGACGGGCCAGACCGATATGTGCCCGGGACTCGCTGGAGAAACCGGGTCGGTCCGACGGGAGTCCGGGAGTCCCAGGGATTCCGCTATGTTCAATCTCAAACATTCGCCTTTCGTTTGGAAATTTTGAATCAAAAACTTTTTGAAATGCAGCAACTTTTTATGTTAACCGAAAATGTGCCGAAGCACTCAAAACGTACTGGTTTAAATTGCAAGAATGCGGAGTCCCACTTTGCCCCTGTGAGTAGGCAACTTTTCCGACGCCCCCCCCCCACCTTTTCCCTCGCTTGCCCCGCTTTGACACTTCATACGTTGCCCGAATACCGTGCGGCATTATAATGATGCCCCTATCATGCAGACAAAGACGTGGTAAAAATAAAAATGGAAAATTGAAATACAATCAAAATGTGTTCAAAATTTTATTTATTCCACTTCCAGGTTATTAACATGTAGAGCTACAAATTCATTGTTTTCAACAGGCATGTAAATATTCATGGACCTAATTGCATCAACTGAGTAAGCATGGAGGCCTTCTGTGGGAGAGACCTTGTTCAGATGTGGCATCACATTGTTTATGGGAACATTGTGCAATTCCCACTCCAATCTCTCATACAACGTCACAAGACAAAAATATCTTTGGGACACTCATTACAATCAAGTGGACAGTTGTTCCCACATGATGACCATCGAATGAAAGATCTTAATCGACACAAGTGAGGAACACCATTATCCAATATTTCTACAAAATAAGAAATTTTTTGCTTAGAAGGTAGATACATTTGAGAAGTGTAGACAAGCCCTTTCTTCTTCAGTCTATAAAAATATTTGCAGCGCCCACCAACAATGTTCAAAGTATCTCTAAGACATTCCCGAATTGCCCTTGGGACAGGGAAACAAGACTTCATTTTTCCTACAACACCAGTTTGAAAATCTATTATTTCAGTCACCTTTGCCTTGTTTTCAAATCTTCTAAGAAATTTTGAGCACAATGTTTTGGCTTCACCCTCGGGCATAGAACTTATCATAACAGGTAATTTCAAATAAACTGCAGATGATGAACAAATTTGCAGTGCTGCGTATCGAGTGCCATGAACCAGGTTGACTAGTTCTCCATTTAAGCTCTCGTAAAAAAAGCAGGCAAATACCCATGCTGGACCAAGATTTTTACAAACTTGACATAAATGAAGGAGTTGATGAAATGTCAAAGTCATGTAGCGCAAACCATAAAGTAATTGAAAATCAGAGACATAAGAATGAAACATTGCTTCTGCACTTTCAAAATCCTCTGGAGATATACTATCTTGACTTAGTAGACTAATAGCTGTGACTAGTGTTACATGGTGAACCCAATACCTTTCGGGTAAGATACCCAACAACACAACTGGAGAATAATAAAAAAAGAAGGCTTTGTAATCAAATGCTTTCCACTTAGGCAATTCTTTCTCAATGCTGCGGGGAATATTCTGAAAAGAAGATGGAGGTTTAATTCTCTTGAGCCTGGCATCAACAAGATGCACCAAGTTTGAAATAGAAAAGGGCAAGGCTGCATGCTGCTTATCAAACCACAAACCCATCAGGGTGCGCATCACTCCCAAGAATATACCATGCATAAAATCTATTCCCATACACAGGATTAAATTAGGTAACAGGGCTGACAACAGTGATGGTCCTTTCACACCGTATACATTTGCATCTGGGTCTTGCACTCGTGCAGCTATCGCCTGAGTTGCAAATTCAACAGTTTCCTCATTGGTCCTTAGATCAATATTCCTAGAGTAGGGAAACACTTGAATAGTTGAATTTCCTGTTCCTGCAACATCATAACGACCTCCTTCAGCTGTGCAGTTAAAGCAAGAGTATGCGCCATTGTATTGAATAAAGCGCATGAACAAGGCTTTAGCTGGCATGTCTGCGACAGCTCCAATAAGTTTTCCTTTGACATTAATTACACCACCATTTGGCAAAGTAAAGTTACCCCCATCGGCTTCAAAGGAAACTAAGAAGTCATGGATTGGCCTGAGAAACAAGTTTGGATTAGGCTTCCGTTTCCCAAACCACAGCCCTGCAAGAATAGTATTCTCCTTACGGGTTCTATACTTGTACCTTAGCTCATTTATAGTTAGATAAGCTGGCCAAATACTAAAGTAAGAAGAGCGGAAAATCTGAACTCCATCAAAGTACAGGAAGAAACTAATATTGTTGGGATTGCTGAGAAACCCATTATTGAAAAGCCGTTTATAGATTTCACCGTCATAAATATCTTCTACATAGTCGATATTTTTTTTAACACGGTTAAATCGATATTGCAGCTCTTCATAGAATCCAGGTCGAGCAAACATACTTTCTAACTGATTAATGATGGGAAACTCAATGAAATAAGTGTCTTGAAGCTGATTTGCACAACAAACAGTATCTTTCCCTGGCAAGAGTACCTCACAGTTTGAGCAGTAATAATGGAGCTTGATGAAATTTTTTCCTATCATTTGAAAATACTTCTTAAATTTATACATGGTTTTTATCAAAATGCTGTTAGCTCCACAATGTGATAATAACAAAGACAGCAAATCAGATAAGCAGAGACCAGTTAATTTGTGACTTATAATAAAAGTCAAAATGAGCAGTGCACTTTCCCCAAATGTAATTGAAGCACCATCATAGATAGGTGTATTGTCACGGTCTTCTTCATCACCATTCTCATTGCCTTCATCTTGTTCATCATCTTCACTTTCACTGGACTCTTGACTTTCATTCTGATCACTACTCAAAGTGGGGTCTTCATCACTACTTTCTCTTTCATTTGATGAGTCTCCTTCGCTTTCAGGCATGTCTTGACCTAAGCAAAGAATTAAAACGATAGAGACAACACTTAAAAGTGGAAATTAAAGTTTATTCATAAATTAAAAATGTATTGAAGTTACTCACCATCTCCTGCATCTAGATCATCATCACCGCTTTCATTGTCACCGTCAACTGAACTGTTCCCTTCGTTTCCGTTCACCTCTTCAATATGCTGATCATGCAGCAAATTTGGACCTATGAAAAATAAAACTTAAATGCCAATTGTTGAAAAAAGAGAGAGTTCCAATACAAAGTTAAAAAATATAAAGCACACGCTTACCATTGCCTTCTTCACCCACATTGGAATCAGTATCTCCACTGTTGTTGATTTCAACAGTTTCAACATGGCCCGATTCAGCGTGGATCTCGGCTGGTTTCTCACTCGAAAATTTTTTCAAACCGACCTAGAACTAACCTGCCGATTGAACGACGGTTTTGGTTTGGCGTACAAGTAGTTCGAGTTTGGTTTGTTGACGTTCTTCCGCAGACTTTGGTTCCGAAGAGCGACTAGAGTTGTACGCCAAACCACGACTTGTCGCTCAAAATCCCTTTCAAAAGACAAACCTGGCAATGGAGTTGTACGTACATAAACCAAAAGTCAAACCTTGATTAAATTTTTTTTTCAGCACTTCGCTGTTTTGAGCCCATTATCCGTTTCAAAGTGAATCTTTAAAGAAAAAAAGGCACTGTGGGTATTTGAAACTTTGTTCTCAATGTTCAACACGAGGCCCAGAGCGTGAACACGTCTTTATATTGAAAGTATGTTATTGCAAAAGAAACTTCAAAAGAAAAAAAAACATTTTACTAAAATGTAAAATTAATAAAGAAAAGCCAATTTCTCGTACAGATAAATAAATTCCTTTGACTTTTCCATATTAATTGATTGTTGTGTTTTAAATGAAAGACCCCTGGGTGGGTTTTGAGCCCACCAACGCCGTCGACTCGACTTTTTCAAAGAAAACAAATGCCAAACGGCGTTTGAATGCTTTTCCAAAATCGCTCGAATGGCCGAGTTTACCGTTACTACGCACAGGAGTGAAAAAAGTCCAGCATTACTACCGGGAATCGAACCCAGCAACCCAACTAATAGTTGGAGGAGGCACCAGCCTCCACGCAATTTGGCGCTGCAAGAAAAGACAAGTACTATTAAACAGGTGTTAAATTCAAGCATTTGGCAAAGCAGGTAAGTTATTTCTAAGATATATATTTTATTTCGAAGATAAGAAAAAGTAATCTATTCTTTGGTACAATTTAATTTTTTTTAACTAATTCTGTAACATGTGACCAAGTGACAAATGGGACACGGCATCCGACAAGGATCTTCATCTTCAGCATTTAGTCCATGCCTCAGCTCCTGTTTAAATTTCCATCCACAGCGTCCACACGTGAAACGTCCTGAAACAGAAAACCGGTAAGATATTTAAGTGACAATTTCTTTTTTTTTCGTAGGGAAGGGCGCCCCGCCCCGCGCCCTTCAGTGGAAAACGACCAACTTTAATTTTCCTCCTTATCGCGGAATGTTTCTTGTATTCTTCGTGTTTTTCTTGTGTTTAAAATGTGTCTTTGAATTCAGTTAAAAGCTAAAAGTGCATGAAGGCTCAAAGCGAAAGTCAGGACTTTGTTTAAGAGTACAAAAGCACTTATGGGATTACTTTCCGTAAGTGAAGATGTAATTTTAAACCGGCTAAAAGCAACAAGAGAAAGCCCAGAATAGTTTGTAAGGTTTTCTCAGTGTAAACTCGTTGTTCATGTTTTAGGCGTTTCCGGTTCCTACGAATGAAAGGTGTAAGAACATGAGTAAGAAGAGAAAGACTTTATTCCAAACTTTCAAAAAAAAAAGATATTTGAAGAATTCCGAAACATTTGAAGGTAAGCAACTGAAAACAGCGTCACTTGTTTAGGTTCCTGCGGTTGAAAGGGAGAAGAACAAATATAAGGTGAGTAGCAATTCATTAATTACCGTGCAAAAAAAGAGATTCATATTCATTTTCATTTATTTTCTGCACACACTTACAAGCTAAATCTTAGGGATTTCTTGGATTAAATTTCATAAAAAGGACTTGACATGTCAGACAGTCGCAGTTTTTCTCCTTTTTCGGAATAGCGCACGTAGCGCAGTTGCACTCAAAGAAGCAATTGTGGGGTTCTGTTACTTCTTGGGTACTGCAAATCAAAAAGGCATGTATAAAAGCTGATATTTAACCATTCTTTGTGCTCTACGCAGCAAGCTACGAGAATCTTACGAAAGTAGGAGGCATAGACCGCAATCGCACATTGTCCAGCTGGCCCGGATGGCCACACATCCCGTGCATGGGCACTTGCAAACGCAGGGGGGTTCCATAGTGAAATGAGGAATGAACTGCAAACAAAAACAAACTGACATAAAGCAGAACGCAGCATAAAAACTTCTCGGCCGTGGACAATTTTCTGACTTTCTTCATCCGTCTTCACACTTTTTTAAGGTGACTCTTAGCCTACTTTCATGACAGGAGAAAGAGTGGGTAAGGAAGAAAGAGAGAATGTCGATGAAAAATGAATAAAGACATTGTGGCAACAAGATATTAACTGTTGATTTCGAGGAATGTGAAATAAAAATTGCAAGAATTCTTTGATTTGGAAAGGCTTTTCAACGGGGTAAAAAAGATGAACAAGAAGCAAAGACAAAAATTTTAAAACGCTTCTTTAAAAAACAAAAAATGATCCATGTTTTGCCTTGCAAGGATTCATAAGGGTTGCCCCTTAGTTGAAGGGCAAAACCAAAAAAAGGTTTGTGTTGAGAGAAACAGCCAAAAATATTTTGAGTTTGCGCTTTAAAATTACAACCATTTGAAGTGGACGTTAAAAGAAAAGCCGGGAAAACTGAAGGGATTAAGGGAAAAATAAATGTAGTTATATAAAACGTTGTTTTATCGGGGAATGTGAAATAAAAATTGCAATAACTCTTTGATTTTGAAAAGGCTTTCAATACGGTTAAAAGATAAACAAGAAACAAGAGAAAAATTTCTAAACGCTTCTTAAATAAACAAATAATGTTCTATGCTTTTCCTCGCAAGGATTCATAATGGGTACTTCTTGGTTGATGGGCAAAACCAATAAAAGGTTTGTTTTGAGAGAAACAGCCAAAAATATTTTGAGTTTGCGCTTTAAATATACAACCATTTGAAGTGGACGTTAAAAGAAAAGCCGGGATAACTGAAGGAATTAGGAGAAAATAAATGTAGTTAAATAAAACGTTGTTTTATCGGGGAATGTGAAATAAAAATTGCAATAACTCTTTGATTTTGAAAAGGCTTTCAATACGGTTTAAAAGATAAACAAGAAACAAGAGAAAAATTTCTAAACGCTTCTTTAATAAACAAATAATGTTCAATGCTTTTCCTCGCAAGGATTCATATTGGGTACTCCTTGGTTGAAGGGCAAAACCAATAAAAGGTTTAATTTGAGAGAAACAGCCAAAAATATTTTGAGTTTGTGCTTTAAAATTACAACCATTTGAAGTGGACGTTAAAAGAAAAGCCGGGAAAACTGAAGGGGTTAAGAGAAAAATAAATGTAGTTCTATAAAATGTTGTTTTTGTTTCGTATTCTTAAAAAATAAAAAGGGCTTCAAATTGAACTGCAATTTGTATAAAACAAGACGAAGGAAAATGAAACGAACGAAAAGGAGTGCATACATGACGTAACTTTAGTGAAAATTGAAGATATAAACTAATAAGAGGTAAAAAAAAATGGGTTGCCCATGGGATGTTCATCTGGTGTCACCGGCGCCTGTAGGCTAGACACGTAAACTCAGAGTACTTATCCCAACTATCCTTGTAGGGACCGCACTAGGCACTTGAAGTTGATCATAAGCCAAAAAACGGCCTCACAACCGAGGGTACCTATTGCTCCTGCAGATAGTTCCTCTGTTGACTTGCACCACTTTCTGAAGTAAGATGCAAGGCAGAGGATGGACATGATAAAGAGCTGAAAGAAAGGTACAAGAGATAAGGCACCATTAACCGCAGTATAATTAATATAATTTATTAAATAACACACAAATTCAAAAGGGTTTTAAACCTTAATCAATGCGATTTGCCAGGAAAATAGAAGGAAAGGTTCGATTCAACCAGGAAACTAATTGGACTGAGCCCTTGATTTTAAATGGACAGAAACGTAAGACTTAACGACAAACAAACGAGGACGTAGGACAAAAGTGAAACCTAACGAAAACACCTAGTTTGACGTAGGGTGAAAGTGAAACCTAACGAAAATGCCTGGTTTGACCTAAGGCCAAAGTGAAACCAAAAGACAATACCTGGTTTGGCTTAAAAAAAAGACGCGTTCCGTTCGACGTCCTGATACAAACTGGCGTGAAATGGCGAGGCACTAGCCTTAAATGGAGTTCAAATTGAAAACACGATCTCAAACTAAACTGAAACTAGAAATCAAACTTCGGTTGGTCTACGTAAAACCTCTTACGTCTAGAAACCAATCTTGAAACTTTAACATTATGTTTGGTTTGTCGACGTAACGCTCCTCTGACAGCGCCCTCCTTGTGCTCAGAAGCGTGGCAGACGGGAAAACGCCAGTTAAACTGAACTCGAACTAGAGTTACAATTTACGTTTTGCAGCGTATATCTATCCAAAGTTGCTTGGCTGCAGACACAACTATTTCATGCCTGTCAAGCGGCTGTTCCCCTTCATCGCGTGATGGGACAGTCAGAGCACGCTCCAAAATTTGCTTTTGTATAAAAAGTTTGAAAAAGAAAAACGTCTCGAAACCAAACTTGAAACCTGAGAACCAATGTTTGGTTCGTCGACGTAACGCTTCCTTGACTGCATCAAACGCCCAACATGTGCTCAGCAGGATGGCCGGCGCAGAGGGAGCTCTGAATACGTTCTTATACCTTTTTTGACACCACAGGGTTTACTTTTGGTTTCAAAACGTACTTCATACCATGCATTTAGTTTGTCATTCCCTTGGTTTGACCTTAAACTCGGGGTCGATTTCCAAACTGGTCTAAGTTGTCAGCTCGCAACCAAGTCCTCAGCTTTACGCAAGTTGAAAGATAAACCCATTAGTTTGAGTTCGATAAAACGCCACGAAACCAACTTCACACCAGATCATAAACCAGAACGACGAGGCCGGTTTGGCGTGTTGTTCTCAGTTATACGCCAAACCTGAAATTCGCGTTCTGGTTTGGTCATTTGAACGAGCTTTCAGATTTACGTCGACGAAACCAAACTGCATTTCATCGTTTGGCGTCTTATTCAGAGGACGCAAAAAGTGCACAAACCAGTTTGAAACCATGACTCTACGTGCTCAAACTAGTTCGCACCATGCATTTCAGTTTGTCATTCGCTTGGTTTGACCTTAAACTCGGGGTCGAACTCTAAACTGGTCTAAGTTGTCAGCTCGCAACCAAGTCCTCAGCTTTACGCAAGTTAAAAGATAAACCCATTAGTTTGAGTTCGGAAAAACGCCATGAAACCAACTCAAACCAGAACATAAACCAGAACGACGAGGCCGGTTTGGCGTGTTGTTCTCAGTTATACGCCAAACCTGAAATTCGCGTTCTGGTTTGGTCATTTGAACGAGCTTTCAGATTTACGTCGACGAAACCAAACTGCATTTCATCGTTTGGCGTCTTATTCAGAGGACGCAAAAAGTGCACAAACCAGTTTAAAACCATGACTCTACGTGCTCAAACTAGTTTGCACCATGCATTTCAGTTTGTCATTCGCTTGGTTTGACCTTAAACTCAGGGTCGAACTCTAAACTGGTCCAAGTTGTCAGCTCGCAACCAAGTCCTCAGCTTTACGCAAGTTAAAAGATAAACCTGTTAGTTTGAGTTCGGAAAAACGCCATTAAACCAACTCAAACCAGAACATAAACCAGAACGACGAGGCCGGTTTGGCGTGTTGTTCTCAGTTATACGCCAAACCTGAAATTCGCGTTCTGGTTTGGTCATTTGAACGAGCTTTCAGATTTACGTCGACGAAACCAAACTGCATTTCACCGTTTGGCGTCTTATTCAGAGGACGCAAAAAGTGCACAAACCAGTTTGAAACCATGACTCTACGTGCTCAAACTAGTTCGCACCATGCATTTCAGTTTGTCATTCGCTTGGTTTGACCTTAAACTCGGGGTCGAACTCTAAACTGGTCTAAGTTGTCAGCTCGCAACCAAGTCCTCAGCTTTACGCAAGTTAAAAGATAAACCTGTTAGTTTGAGTTCGGAAAAACGCCATGAAACCAACTCAAACCAGAACATAAACCAGAACGACGAGGCCGGTTTGGCGTGTTGTTCTCAGTTATACGCCAAACCTGAAATTCGCGTTCTGGTTTGGTCATTTGAACGAGCTTTCAGATTTACGTCGACGAAACCAAACTGCATTTCATCGTTTGGCGTCTTATTCAGAGGACGCAAAAAGTGCACAAACCAGTTTGAAACCATGACTCTACGTGCTCAAACTTCTTCAAACGGTGCATCGGTTTGTCTTTTAGTTCGTTAACGTCCATTTATCGTAAGAGTTTTGCTTTTGGTTTGAAAACGTACAACCTGACGTTGTAGGTTCTCTCAAACCAGCCGGACCCTGACAAAAGACAAACCAGAGACTGTCGTTGTAGGTCGTCAAACTAGATATAGAATTTTGAGTAAAAGGTCAAACCAACCTGGTGCGAGATTCATTTCTCTTGGAAGAAATGAGCCCCGCGAGGCCTCTAGTTTGACTTTTGCCTTGCCTTCGAATGACGTTTTTGGTTTGACCTTGCACCAAAGTTGTCGTTAGGTTTGAGGTACGCCATGCTATTAGATGGAAAGTTGACACTCATGGATTTCAACACCCTCATGAATTTCAGCAGCCTCATCGCTTTCAACAGCTTCATCGCTTGGAACAACTTCATCAGCCCCAACTGATAAAAAAGCATACCAAACAAATTAAAGTCTGCACGGCACAAAACCTTATCATATAATATCTCTAAATTTACTTACTTATGTTCACATCAGCTAGTGATCTTGCCGAATCAGAATCACTGCGTTGGTTAATTTCATTGTCACTTCCTACATCAGAATGATTGTCTGTACCGTTGTCAGTTGCACAGCTTTCAACACCTTCATTGTTTCCAACTGAAAGAAAGGAATGCAACAGCAATCAAAATGAAAATAGTCTGCATAGTGCAAAAACAAAAGGTGCTACTACAACCCACTCATGAAGCATCATCGATCATCAAGCATCATCAAAACGTACTCAAAAGTGAAAGTGATAAGACATCGACAATGGTCGATGCTTCAATGATGTATAAAGTTTGGTTACTCACCACCATCAGTATCCCCTTCATGTTCAGTATCAGAGGATGCGTCTGTGTGTCTCCTTCTTCTTGGATGACGGCAATCCTGATCTGGGGGCAGAAACACAGGTCATTTAGAAACCAAAGAAAGGGCTTTGAGCTGTCTTTTTAAGTTATGTTATTCTCCATCAAAACTAAATTTTAGAGGAGAGGCTGTGCTTTCTATGCAATTTATAGTAGTACTTCTCTAGCAAGTACTACAGAAGCTATTTTAAACCGAAAATACAAATTACTGGGGTCCTGAACTGAAACTCCAGCATCAAAGAGAGCATACGAAACGCGGCAAAAACATCATCACAGAAGCTTACCAGAATGTCTTTCGGAATCGCTGCTGTCACGCACTTGAAAATCATTTCGTGTGCGTTTCCGGTACCACTTTCTCTTTCGGCTCTGAACTGAAGCCGCAGGCTGCACATTGTCACTGTCTGAGGACGTTTCCTCGTTTTCATTCATGGTTCAAAGCATCGAACCCACTGCTAAAGGCCCTGAAAGCCGCACACAATAACTAAAAACAAACATCGTTCTGCTTCTGCTTGCCGGCCGAGCTTGAGACCGAAAGTTTTCTTCCTTTTGATGGCTTGAGGCATGTCGTCATGAGCCAGGGGTTTTCCCAGAGGAGTGTCAGCAAATTTTATAAAAAGCAATGTCTTTAGCATAAAAATTTAAAGAAAACGTTAAAATACTTTTTGAAGCTGCCTTTATTTTTTGGCTCACACGTGTGTAGGATATTTATTGAAAAAGATAGCAAAGCAGAAGAACTATTTCATGCGCGGAGTGATTGCCCCGTCCAGGCCACGCACTATTTTCGGACTGCGTGACAAGGAGGCTAATGGCCGCTCTGCGGGACCTGTTACTTCATGCATTCGGAGGTTTGTCTCAGCACTGCGGTCTGCGTACGAGTTTGGTGACAATTTGCGTTTGTGGCAAAGCTATCTAAGTCCATCGCCATGGCGCCAGTCAGGAAGGCTTTGGTTTATTGGACCAGAGAGAAGAAGACTGGCATTGAGCCGCTGAAGCATGTGCCGCCCAGCGCACGGTTTGAGGGATTCGTGACTCCTGTCAAGTACAGTGGCAATGGTCGATTCTACCCGTCCAAGATAATCATGATAAGTGGTAAGTGCAGTTTACTTTTCTTCCCTCGTGATCGTTACTTTCAGAATCGCTCAGACGTGCTGTGCTTCCATAAGTTATCTTGAGTGGCCTGTTTTGGAGGCGACGTCTAGACTAGGTTAGGTTGCCTTAGCAGAACATCAACTTTGTTGAGAGTTCTGAAACTTTTATGCTATACGGAGAGGTTATGCTACGGACTGATTTCGCACGTTGTTTCTCCACTCGCGCCCACACGGGACGCACCATTAGTGCGAGAGAGACAGTGACGACGGCAACGTTTGGAATCCGTCTGTGTGCCTGCAGTGTGCCTGCAGTGTGCTTCCTCTTTTTCGACCCACCGTTATGAGTGTCACTAAACTAGTTTGTTGCCTGTTCCAGATAATGATTCTGCACTTGAAGCTCGCCAAGTGGAATTGGAGGCCGAAATTCTCAATAAAGAGAATCAAGCCCCAGTCCTTGACAACAAGTCCAAGTCCAAGCGCTCTCGAAAGCCTGTTTCAAAGGCTGGATCAGCAACCTCCAGGGATGTTGCGAAGGCCTTAGGCAGCAAGGCCCCTGTGCCAGAGGAAATGGAGGCTGCTCACAGGGCCTCTCTCAAGTCAAAGAAGGACGCCAAAGCACAAGCCGTGAAAGCTCAGCTGGAAGCAGACACAGCTGTTGCTACTTCAGTAAGGCGAGGCCTCTTCAGAAACGAGGGTGAGTACCCCTGAAATGGAGCAGGTCTGATTCTTGCCAATGAACTCTTGGTGTTCATATCTTATTGATTGGTTCTTTACTAGGCCTTGACCTTGAGGTAACCTCCGATGTTGATGATGCTGAGGCAGTTGGTGTTGATGATAATTTTGACTGCGGGGATCCAAACAACTGCAGTTTAGTTGAGAGCCCTCTTGAACTTACTCAAGTGCATCATGATGGGGAGGAAGAAAGTGGATCTCATCCAAAGTGGTGCAGCTGCGGTCCCTG